AACTCTGCAAAATATTAAAATATTCCCACTGAACAAAGTAAAATGGAGTGGTCTTATGAAAGATTTTTTTGCATGCGGTTTTGATGGAAGTTACATGTAAGTACAACACTGAACAGCAGTTCTCTAGTGTCTTGCAAACAGATAATCTAGTGTACAATATAAAGTAAAAGTTGCAACAGCCTATAACTGGTGAAAGAGATTGAAATAAGCTTCAGGCAGCACTGTGTGTGTCTCGTGAAGTGTCACTAGGACAACAGACCTAAGTCACCTAGGGAACATCTGAAAATGTATCTGTGATTCTTTCACTGTAGTTGGCTCTAAGGGACTGGAGAAGAGTCAGATATATTTATGTAAAATATATGAAGCATCATAAATGTATTTGCATTACAGAATTTCAAAAGCTACTTCTGTTCACGGTAGGGTATTTATTTATTTATTTTTTTTCTTTTTCTCAGGTTTAACAATCTGTGGGCACAACTGTCTGCTGACTGCTGAATGGATGTCTGCCAGTAAAATTGTGTGTCGAGTTGGACAGGCTAAAAATGACAAGGGAGACATTATTGTTACTACAAAGTCTGGTGGCAAAGGGACTTCAACAGTTTCCTTCAAACTGCTTAAACCTGAAAAAATAGGTATTTTTTTTTTGTTCAAATTCACATCTGTTTTCTTTGCTAAACAAATATATGATGGAGTGCCTCTTTTAAATAAAATGTATGTTTAAAATGGATCCACCTCAGGACAATCTTCAGTTGTATAGAAAAAGCTCAATATATCAATAAAATGTGCAAATAAATGCATAGATAAACTCATGGTATATGTGAAATTAATCCCCCTATCTCAATATCCTGATAAGACCCTCAATGACTAATGAAAAGTAGTCCTTTCTTTTTCTGTAAGAGTAACACTAAGCTTCTAAAATTTAAAAAAAATTCATAACAGATCCAGTAGGTACTCCTAAGTGTGCTAGAGAAATACAAAATATAAACCAGCTCATGAGCTTTACACCTAAATCCTGAGCTGACAGTCAGTCCTTTATTTAAAGTTGAGTCTTCACTGCTGTTTCTTACTTGTAATTCAAACCATCCTGCAAGACAGAAGGTCTTAAGTATTTCTCGTGAGATGTCTAACCATTGAAATGATGTTGCCAAGCAGTCTAGGACCTCTGATTAATCTAGAATCCAGTCTAAATACCCTCTGGATTGAAAATGTGCTTTTTTTTCTTTCAGAACACCTCATTGCTGAAGTTGGATAGCTGTCTTTTCTAACATAGGGGTTTCCACAAGAACTGTTTTCAGCTTTTGTTCTCTGAGGTTCAGTGACAGTTAAATGTCACATAATTTCTCCCATGCTGTACTTGGATCTTAATAACAGAAAGGTTAATCAAGTGTAAATGTTACACAGTGAAGCTTTTGGCGATGGGGGAGGAGAATCGATATTTTAAAAAGTGTGGGAATAAGTGTGGGGATGGGGTAATTTCTGTTGTTAATTTCTGATGTTAAAGAAGGACATGGCCAAAAAAGTATGGCTGGCTGCATTTTTGGCTGAGGTCCAGGATCTCCTGTGCCTCACCTTTATGCGTTGTCTGTGCTAAGGCTTTGGAAGCAAAGTCAGTCCTCTGTCCTTTGAGTCATCCATCTTGGCACATGGCCAAAGTTCATTTGGTTAGTGAGTGGAACAGAAAAGAGTTCTTCTCTAAAATATGCAAATAAGGAGACCTCCACGTAATTGCTCGTTTTGAAAGTAGTAGATGACAAGATTTGGATGGATACCAAAATACTTGGAGGAATGAAAAATACTAATACTCCATGGTCAGGAAAATGCAGTTAATGTACATGAAACTTTGCCCTCTATAGGAAGGTAATGTTTGATGCTCAGCAATGAATACCTTTTCAGCAGTTATAATAAAATAATTTAGCATAATTGCATCCAGGTTGTTTTGCCATGTATCTTCCAATATATTACCTAGGCATGCATTTTATATTTATGAGGATTTTTCAAATTAATTCAGTATGTTAGAAGTTGGTGGTGCTGGACCGCCCTTGTTGTTTTAAGGATCTGCACTTTGTTTTCTCTAGGTATCTTGGATCAGTCTGCTGTCTGGGTGGATGAAATGAACTATTATGACATGCGCACTGATAGGAACAAAGGGATTCCCCCCTTGTCCCTACGTCCAGCTAATCCGCTGGGTATTGAGATAGACAAGTGAGTACCAAATGCCTTTAATCCACTTTTTGAGTGGTTTTCTCTATATGTGCTTCTGCAAATTCCAAAAAAGTTTAAGGGAAAGATTTAAAACTACATACACATATTAGCTGTCGGTATGCTATTTGGTACTCAAAAGAGTTGTTGGTGCACGTTTTATCCTGCTTCATAATCCTCATTTTTCGATCGTCAATTAGAACCGTAGATAATGTAAAAGCCCAATATATTGAACCTCAGTGATGTTTAGATTTTGAGGACTGGTAAATAACCTAAGGCTTTGGATTTATACATTGTAGTTACGGAATATTTACTGTTGCATTTGAGTTTCATGGGGCTTTTAAGGATGTTTAGATTGCTATCTGTTGGTAAAATTGCACTGTAAAATGTGATTTAATATATCACATCAGCTAGTTTATTTCATTGAAATATTAATACTGTTTTCCAACCCATAGACTTCTTTACTTTCCTTTGTAAGCATGGTGGAATTTATGACATTTTTTTCTGAAATAGGTCTTACAGTTAAGACAGTGTCAGTGTGGTAGGTTAAGAATTGTCTTCCAGAAACCTAAGCAGCATTATCTTAGGATTTGTTTGATTTAGAGTCATCTGTTTTGATGTTTCTTAACTAGGAAACCAATGATATTATGTTTTAAATGTTTAATCTGAAAGCATTAGACAACACAATGTTAATGAAACCTCAGATTTTGTGTGGAAAAATAAATGTGAGAAAGATGTAAATACAGATAGGAAATAACTTTTTTGTGAGTGAAAAATAGAAATTTTTGTGCAAGCATAATATCAAGGCTAGTTCATTGATCACGGTATCACAGATGTCCAAGTTCATTGGAGGTGAAGCATGAAGATTATGGCAAGCACTGGTTCTTGAAAATGACCAGTTTGAGAGAAGGAACACAAGTCAATATAACAAGTAATTGTGTAGAGGGGAAAAAGAGGAAACGCCTGGTCTGCCCCTGCCCATGTCTTATGGGTGACAGCACAGTGTTAATGGTTGTGACTATAGATAGCCATTCTGTGTTTAATTAAAAAATGCCTCCCCAGTGGAGAAGCTTTCATAATTTGCTTGTTAAAATGTAATGTTTCCTTTTACAAAATAATCTCTAATACAATATAGTTTAGTTAAACTCACATGTTTGCAAATACCTGATATTCGGGATGGCTACTAAGTTGTATTAGGTAGTGAAAAAAAGGCAATAATAAATTGAGAAAGGGAGTGGGTAAGCAAGATATTAGCATTAAACATTACTAGACATGGGAATAATTTGTCACTAGAAGTGATAAAAATTGTTAGAATTTTGGGATGCTTTAAAATAAAAGAAAGCTTAATATGAAGAAGAGTTGTAGATACAAGGAGATGGGAGCCTGCAGCATAATGGGTCTCTCCTTTGGCTTCATTAAATTATTTTTAAATGTGTGCAAATTGGGTTGTATTTTAATTTTGAAGCTGAGGCATTTGGCATTGGTCTGACTGTGGTGGGATTTACAACCCTTGCAGTCTGATGCCTGATAAGGAAGGGAAAGAAGTGTCTTGTATTGGTTATGCAAATAGTGGTAAACAAAAGAAACATTTTAAAGAGACGACCAGGGAGAAAACCAGTGAAAAACAGTTGTGAAAAAAGAGGATAGGAGAATAAGCTAGATGGGAGCACACTGAAGATAAGGCAGGAAGTGAGTAGACTGCAGACTGAAAGAGAGAAAGAAGTCCTCCCTCCAGAAAGTGGTTGTCAGTCATCAGCAAGTGATACAGAAAAGACAATCTACAGCATGGAAAGGACTTAGATCACCTATCTGTTGTGAGGGGTTTTATTATTATTTTTATATGGGTTATGCTTAGTTCTAAGTGTTCCTTTTGTGGCTTTTTAAAACATTCTTTGTGGTACTTTGTTCAATTAAAATGTATTTAAAAATTAATCATAGCTTTTGAATCATTTAAGTGGGTACTTTAAGGTGTTGCAAATGAGACTGATATAAGAGAAAAAAAGATCTTGTAAGTAATGAACAAAAGTGCTTTAGTACAGTGCTTCATTAAACTATTAGGCAAGCACAGGGACAAAAAAAGTATTTATTCTGACTCAGTAGATTTAAGATTGGAGTTTAATTGGGAGTGGCTGGGATTTAAATGAACAAAAGGTTTGAAGTGTCAGTTAAGGGAAGTTAAATAAGAATGGGTCTATCACATTCTATTAATAATAATCATACTGCCTGTAGATGTATTGTAGGAGTAATATATATACTCAAAATATGCAGTGGAATTCTCTTTTCATACTCAAATATTTCAAGGATGCAAAGTAAGAACTCTGAATATACAGTCACCTTCCTGGTTGTATTTTTTACATAGTCAAGATAATTTAAATATGTATACACAATGTGCAAGCCACCATCTTTCAGCCTGCAAGTTTACCAAGTAATAAGTATACATAATTTCTGGCTGATAAGTTCTTCATATTTTCCAAGCATTAATTGACGTCCTTAGAATCTCAGTTACTAAATAACTATTATTCATATTGTAATGAAACTTGAACTTGCTGGTTATTATGTTTCAGTGGTGATCCTTAGAGTCACAAATGTATTTGTAGAAGAGTGTTGGCACAGGTTTGTTCTCCTGCCTTGCTAACAGTTGCTTATTTGGATCAGTTCTGTGTTTTAAAAGATGAACAGATGAGGTGTGGGTTTTTTACATTGCTATCACTTAGTTCATATTGAGTATATGCTATGAAGTATTTAATTCGCATGAGAAAATAAGTACTTAAAATATTTAATCTTTGAGTTCTAGTTTTTTTAATTTTCAGAATGGAGTAAAACTGATACAAAGCTTTAGTCTTCTATCGCCATCTTTTTATGCTGGCTACCTAAAGACCTGCTTTGCATTTTCCTCCCCGAGGAATGCTCCTGGCTGTGGTGTTATGCAGATGTAGCCAGAAACCCTTACAGAAGGCTTAAATAGCTTGCAGGAAGAAAAAGAGTATACAGAGTAGTCACCTCAATTTAACAAATGTGGAAACTTGGTATGAAAATGCCAATATTAACAGTGATGTTGCAGCTCTTGGGTTGGTTTTAGCAGTTAGAGCTGTTACAAGAGTAGGTTGGTAGATTTCGTCCTACCAATTTAGGATTGTTCAGAACTTTAAATAGTTCTGGGAGACGGTATGTGATGGCTGTTTCATAAAGGCACTGATTGAAATCTGTTGGTGGAAAATTTACATCTACATAAAAATTGTGAATGAATTGCTTATTCAGATGTACCACATACTTTCCCTCTTCTGCTGTCAAGTCCTTGTTTAATCAAAGGCTCCCTACCTCTTCTACCTATTCTGTCAGACTAGAAAATCCAATCTCTGCAGAGCAGTAAGAACAGTCAGACCTAGTGGTGGTTAGAAAATTTTTGAGTAGCGTTTGTTGTTTTGCATGTAGCAGAGGTCATTATGGTGGATCCATCTCGTACATGAAAGCAAATGCTGACATGCTAAGTACATTCCACATACTTCTGTATCCACCCACTCAATACAGATGCTTCCCTCTTCCCACGCCAGCTTCCAAAACAGTTCGTCTGGGAGCAGGGAACAGATGATCTTACGCTGCCATCTAATGGTAAATGTCAGCTCGGAGGTAAATGACATAGGAAGAGACTTTCTGGAGGCTTTGATATTTATTTATTTATTTATATATTTATTTTTAAGTGGCCTGTATGCCACTTAAATGCCGTCAGTGTCATCCTTGAATGTGATGAACTTGTGGAAACTTGTATCACAGAGATGCGTCAGTGATAAAAAAACGTGAAACCTGTGGGAGAGAAATGCGGTATATAGTAGTGTATATAGTCATAGTTTTGTGATGTTAAAAAATATAGTAACACTTACTTCTTGTAAGGCTGATGCATCAGTTGCAGCTTCCAGCCTACAATCTCTTAGTAGATTTCTCTTAGGACTTTCTTCAATTTCTCAAATGTGTTTCTCATTCTGTTGTCATATTTTTGATAAACCTAAGGCTACTGGGGACTAATTGCCAGAGTCCATCCTTGTCTTTTTGCTTTTGGAGGGACCTTTGTTAACACCTTCTGATTTGTTGTGTTTAGTCTACTGCAGTGTCCCTTATGCTGGTCCTCTTGCATGCATTATTAACACAGTACAGCTGGTACAAAGCCTGCTCCTAGGAGTCTGACTGGTACCAGACAGAGAGGGGAGTGTACAGCAGCTCTAGCTGGAGCTTGTTTATGCTGCTTGCTATTCAGAATCTGTGTTTATTTAAAGTTGCTCCTTTTGACCTATAAACTTCTGTGGAATTGAGGTTCAAGTTACCTTTAGGTGGCTGTATCCTGTTTTGGGACCTGCCTTTAAACTGCAAATATTGTTATGTGTAGTGGAAAGCATATTATGAGATTCTGAAACTCTGGGAGCAAAATAATCTTTACAGGAAAGTTTACAATTTGCTAAGCTGCCTTGATATTCAGGCTCTTCATTAATATCCATTGCATTCTGTTGCTGTTACTCAGTTGTGACTGCTTGGAGGCTGTGATGTACCTGTGGAGATTACAACTAATCTTAAACCTCTGGAAAATATAGATGCTCTGTATATGCACAAGTTTTGTAGTAGAATTTGAAAGAGCCAATATATGCTGTGATGTAAATTCGATTTGTTGAGTATCAGGCTATACAGAACCTAAAGTTTGGGGTGGTGGAGGGAGGGAATTGTGTTGATGGGCACACGTGGCACAAGTGTATTGATTGTACCACATGTGTTTTGGATCCAAAGTAGATGTGCATGCCACTTACGTAGAAGCAAGGACCACAACATCTAATACGGCATGATTATATTAAATATACTCAAAATATGTTTGAGGGAAGTAAAACTGTGTAGCAGCTTGAAAACAAACTTATTTTTATTATAATTCTCATTAATCTAAACAGTATGCGAAATCTTAATTACTTTTATATTTTAAATTGTTCCTGATGGGTGAATAAGACTATTTTAAAATGTCAACTGTGTCTAGTACCAGACCTGATTCTGTTTTAAATAAAATAGTCTTCCTAGCAGAAAGTACTATTACATAAATCCAGTATGTGTACCTTTGCTGAAGTTGTAAAGATAGCAAAATTGGTAGAGTTGACAAGGATAGTAAACTTCTCTTTTTTTTTTTTTTCTCTGAGGTTTTCTGGATTCAGTCTGTGGTTTCCAGTTTCTTTTGCAGTGATTGCTTTTTAGTCAATTATTAAATATTCAGATTTGATTCTTGCACAATGAGCAAATAAACAGAAAAATGATCAACAATTTCATTGCATGTCAGTATGGCCTCAGCTTTTGCTACTAGTTCATATTCACGCTGTAATGCTGAAATGAGTAAGACAGAAATACTTTCTCAAGTCACATATGTGCTTGTTTATAAGTAAATGGTAAGCAAGTTTTCATGAGAACAACTTCCAAGGGCTTATTTATTTAATTTACTAATGGAAGTTAATGAAACAAACTTGTGTGTATGTGTAGTCAGTCTCTTTTTAGATGCATCTGGCCAGACATTTTAGAAATACAGTTGATTTCAGTTTGAACTTTTTAGTGAGCAGCTTGTTGTGAAGACAGCTGTAGCAAGTCATTCCAAGCTCCCCATATCTGTTAGTGGAAAAACTACTGGTAAAATTTATTATAAAAATAAGGATACTACACCATAGAGTATAACATATTGTTAACATACCGCACACATTCACATTCATGTTTCTACTCTGTTGTGACTGTGTCTAAAATATGTCTGCACAGATAAAAGCACCCGTAAATGCATTGCTAATTTATGGTTCTGCACAAATACATCTGCTGGAAAAAAGCTTCTAATAACTTTTCAATGCACTCAAACATCAAACTGAAAAAAACCTTCACTTCTGTCCCATTGTCTGTGGGCAAAACCCATTTGCAGGAATTTATTACATCCCTAGCTAAATTGTTGGTCTTTATCTCTCTGTGTGTATATATATATATATATATATAAAATAGGGAAGGTTTCCCTAGGAATTGTATAGCTCATGCATAAGCTTAAAACATCGTGCATATGTCTTAGTCTTACAAGAATAAGTACCATTTGGAAGTGGTATATTTGTTGAGTGTGTGTACTTTTTGTGGGAGAACTGTTTCTTTTGGCTTCTGAGAAAATACGTTGAATTTCTGAAAAATATGAAAAAAAATCTGCTTCTATATTGTATGCATGCATTTATATAGTGCTTGTACTGAAGGGCTAAGTCTCTTCTGAGGTAACTGAAATTTTTTTATTGGTTTTGGCTTTTAGCACTAAAAATATAGTTGACCACAAAGATGCCACAATGCATGGATTTAATATAAAATCTTTTTTGACAGCCGTGCCATGTATCACATGTGAAGTACTATCCTGCAAATTCTTGTACCTACTGACCATTTTGAACGAAAAATAAGATATCTTAAAATGCCTTTAAAGGAAGGGTAAATTGATAATTTCTTCACATTCTTACATGCATCAGCATTCTGCTCAGTAATTGACATTGATGAAATTCAATGTCATTAGTAATCCTGAATCTCACTACCTATGATTATAAATTTTTAGATTAACATTATCACTTTTTCACTGAACACAGAGAAATTTTGGGACCTTCATTTTTAGTTGCTACACTTGTTTCTCACAGTATTTTCCCCGTCTTTCTACTTTCCATATCTGTCATCACTTTTCCTTGCATCTCATTTGAGTTTTTCTGTGTGTTTTTAAAAAGTATTATTTCATGCCCCCGCTGTAATCAGGTGCTACTGATGAAAGACTTCTGTGCTGTGTCATTATCTATGTAGGTCTTTCGTACCTTACACCTGTGTAATGGTGAAATCAAAATGGTAAAATTAGTTTTACTTAGATTGCAATCTTTTCTTTCCCAGTCACGCAACATGTGTCTGTAATACCAGATTTAATTTCATGGTTAGATGCAAGTTTATATTTATGTCTTGTTGTAACACGATTTGGTATTGTGGTTTTTTTTTTTTTTAACATGACACTTTTAATTGTAAGCTGTTCACAAGAATATGTCTCACTGAAGAAATGAATATTCATTTTTCAGAGGCAGATTTCCTCAAAAAGATTTAGAGGCACTGTTTCCTGGGATGAGTGCTGATTTCACTAGTGAAAACTTTTCTGCTGCCTGGTACCTGATTGAGAATCATTCAACAACAAGGTTTGTTGCTATGGTATAAGTAATTGTTTTAAATGCAAGTCACTTGATGTTATTTCATTATACAACAGATGTGTCATTGGTGTTGACATTTACAATAATATATTGTAATGTAAATGTAGTCTCTACTGCCTCTGGTGCTTCTGCTTGGCTCAAACTTGAATCAACTCTTTTGCTCAATGTGGTTATGAGGAAAACTTCATTTTTAACCAGGCCTAATTTATGGCCTCTCTGTGGTCCCCCCGCCTGCCGCAACCTCCATGTGTCAGATGGAAGTTGTCTTTCTTCAGGTTGAAGTCCTTTATGAATCATGAAGTCAGGCAGCATGGCCTTGACTGGAATGTCCAGGTGTTAAGTCATAACTAGAGGCTCAGGACAAGGGCACTGAATGGACAACTAAGAGTAGAACTGTTAGTAGTATCAGTTAGCTTTTAGTCAACTCTTGTGGAAAATGCTATAGTAAAAGAAGTTGGACAAGTGAGTAAGATCTTTTGAGGTAAATCTCTTAAAATCTTGATCATTGATGTCTTAATTTTTAAATATAATTCATAGTATGTATTTACATAAATGTGCTATGTAAATATATTTTGCGTGTATAACAGAGTTCTGAAACTTTTATCTGTTGGTTTTCAGATAATGCTGTAAGTCATTTTTAGTAGTGATGATGAACTTTTTTTGTTGTTTTTAGCTGGGTATTTTGATTTAGCATTTTGAAGGGAAACATTACATATTTATTTATTTATTTTATAATGGTAGAAACAGATGTGGGTTGGTGGGATTTTTTTGGGGGAGTGGGGGGATGGGTGGGCAGGGTGGTTGGTTTTAGGAACTCCAAAAATAACTTATTCTACTTGGGAAGTACTTTAATTTGCTCTTGAAGTGTTGGTAGATTGAAGGGCCAAAAACCAGCAAGACAACATTATTATTACACATGTAGTGACAGCATCTTCTGAAATTTAGTAACTTAAAGAAGAGTGATTCAAAATTAATTCAAAATTAATTAATCTTCTGTGATCATCAGGTTTTTAAAAAAGCTGAGGGGATAATAAAGTGAGAAAGAATAGACAACTCTTGATGTAGCTGCTTTTAAGAAATTTCCTTTATATTTGGCTGTTAGACTCTGTGTCATTTTGTTGCTTATTCTGTTGGCATCAGTAACACTGCCAAGAGTGATGTAGAACAGATCAAGAGTGATTGCAAAGCCCTGTGGACAGAAGTGAAGAACATGGGAGCTCAGGTATTCTTCTTGATTTACAGGAGAAGGGAAAAGCTTCATGTAGTAGTGGGTGAGTCCTATAGGTTCACAGATGGCTGTATCACTGTTTTCAAAGGCAGTGCTTTTTACTTCTGTAGGCATGGATCTTTAGTAAAAGAGCTAGTTCTGCTAGTGAGAAATTGGATTAATTTCAAAAAGTGGGATGGGACCATCTTTGCCAGCAGGTTTGCGCTTTGGAGACAAGACTTCAGATTAGAAATATCAGGGGATGGTGATAACAGTTTGCAGTTAAATGAGGGGACAGAGTGCTACATGTGTGGTTCAGTGATGGCACTGAGAGTGCTGTTGGAAATTGCAAATCAGTTGGAAGTGTCTAACCTCAAGTACCTTTACACACTCACATGCAGCCTGGGAAACAAACAAGAGGAGCCAGAGCTCCACACGTGGGATTAGACAAGTGTATCACTGGGATAAAGTGGGATAACTCATGTGACTGGTGTTCTGTGATGGATTGGAAGAGGTCTTCTCAGAAAGATACCCAGGAAAGAGAGGGACTTGACCTTTGTGTAAAGGAACAGCTTGAATAAATATATGGTCTCTCTCATGGAGTAGGTAGCAGGATGGTTGAGAGATTGTTCAAGAGGCTGGAAAGGGTGACATCGAAGTGGGATGAGGAAGTGAACAAAATCTTCCTTAAGCAACTCGAGGAAATCTCCAGAGAGCAGACCTTGGTTCCTGTACAAGACTTCAACCTCCCTGATAATTACAGGAAGGGCAGGAATTCAGGAGGCTTGTAGAGAGTTCTGGGAATGGCTTGTAATGCAGCTACTAGGTGAGCAATCAGGAGTGCTGCTTTCCAAAATATGATTCTTGCAGGGAATTCTTGCAGGCGCTGTGATAACCAGTGGAAGCCTTGGCTGTAGAAATTGTGAAATAGTTGAGTGTAGGGCTCTAAGGGGTGTGGGGAAGACAAGCAGCAGCGTACACACCTGGGGCTGGGCAACAGTAGTACAGAAGACAATCTGGTGTTTGTAACATGCCATAAATACCAGTTGGCTGTCCAGTACAAATCATCTTCTGGGATGTATCAGCAAGACTCTGTTATGTTAGATATGGGGATAGTTGTTCTGCTTGGCATTATTAAAGCTGCAGTTGAAGTACTCTGCCCAGTTTTGGCCACTGCTTTAAGACAGATGTGAGAGCTCAGCCACAAAAATAGGAATATATAAATATCTGTGGGTATACAGCTTGAAAGAATTAGGTGCTTTTAGAAAAGAAACAAAATTAATGCGGGATGCGTAGAAATATGTAGCGGGCAGTTCAAGGGTAGCCATTGATTGCTCTTGGTTTACCAATAGTAGAACAAGCTGTCTCAGTTTGCCACAAGGGAGATTTAGGTTAGATGCAGATTAAAGCCAATATTGCATTGCTTAAGTTCTGGGACAGTGTAACTTGGAAAGCTGCAGAATCAACTGTCACTGGAGAGTGCTGAGATTTGATTTGACAGCTGTTGGTCATAGATGCCTTAGGTACACTTAAGAATGTTGTGGATCCATAAAATGAATTAAGTGACTTCTTAGAACTGATTAAATGACTTTTGTTATCAGAATCACCATGGAACATGAACAACAGCATAATGGTTATATCTCTAATATGACAAGATGTCAGTAAAAACATTGATTTTTCTGGTCATCAGTACTATGAATTGATAACTAATTACATCAACTTTTATGGCCCCTATTAAATTTGTACTATGCCAAGGGATCAGTACCTTGGAGAAAGTTCGTTCTCATGTAAATTTCCATTGATTTTTTCCTTTGCATGTCAACAATTTTAAGTCATGGTCCCCTCAGTCCAGTGGGAAAAAAGTATTAATTCTTGTTGTAAAAAGCAAAATCTGGGTTTTTGCATATTAATTCAGTTTATGTTGGTTTATAAAATGTGAATCTTAGTGCTGAAGGTGCAGAAGCTGTGTAGAACTCAACGGGAAGAATGGCTCAAAGGGTAGGGTGAATCCAATTGTTTTGAATCTAACTATAAATAGCATGTTAAATAAAGAAGAAGCAAAACTGGGGGTTTTTTTCTTCCCACTTCAAAGTGTGTAGTCTTAGAAATATTCTGGAATTGTATAATTATCTGCCCCGTATCATTTGTGCTGGTTTTCCAGAAACACACAGCAATGGTTTAGTTCTTGTCCTCTATGTAACCTCAGGTATTGGGAGTGCTAAATGTGTGGTGCACTGATGTTTTGGTTAGCTTATATCTGTTTTTTCCTTGAAGGAAATTCTTTTTAAGCAATCAAAATAACTTTTTTTTTTTTTTTTTCCCCTGGCAATATCCTGACAAATACAAGTAAACAATTTAGACGTACTATTAGATCATCAGATAACATGAAATTCTACTTGGAAAGAGAACTGTACAGATTTTTGTTAGTTTGAAAATGTTGCTGGTAAGTATTTCTTGTATGCCCAAATAGACCAATCCAGCTATTGAGTAATGTGATTTCTGTCCAGCAGATGGAAACAGGAAATAAAGCAAAATGTTGTGACATCATCAGTATAATAAGAAAAATGCCTGTAAGTGCACCAGTATGTTTTGTCTCCCAGCAGGTGGGAATAGCCTTCTCACTGCCCGGGCTAAAGTTTTATTTGTTTTCTTAATATGTCTTTTTCTACCACTGTTTAAAACAGATAAAGAGTATTGGTGGGATTGTTTTACGTCTTAGTTTCCTTATGTCATTGTTTCCTTTCCCTCTCCTCACTGAGGTATAGAGGAGTTATTTGTTTGATTTTTTTTTTTTTTTTTTTTTTTTTTATACGAGGGAGACATGTTTGGCCTGCAGGTAGGAGAAAAGACTTTAAGGATGAAAATAATGCATTATATTTGTATTTCTGACCATGTTTGTGATAGCGCTTTTATAATGAATCCAGTAGCATAAGTACATCATCATCATCAATAAAAAAATGATTTGCAACTAATGAAGAAATAGTCACAACATAAAACTTCTAAAATAATTGCAGCTGCTTGCAAAAAATAAACATGTGAAGTCAAATGTAAACTGGTAATAATCTAGAAATATTAGAAAACTAATATAAAAAGAAACCTACCATACAAACAACAATGATGAGTTGGTGGTTTTAATATTCTCCTAGGAAATGTCTTTCAAAAACAATTCCTCAGACTACATAAAAAAAATATTTTCAAGAAGCAGGAATCTGTGCAGCTTTTCTTTATTTTTTCCACTAATACTATGGTCAATTCTGAACTGTGTGTCCAAAGCAACATAAAAAATATTGAAGGAATTAAGAAGCTGAAAATGGAAAAGGGTTTTGAACTATGCTGCAAAGTTAAACAAATGTTGTTATTAAAGGGAATTCTATAATCTAAGTAGTTAATGTAGTTTACTAAGCGTAGTGACCTATACTATCACATATTTAATGTAGTACTGACAGTTGACGAAGAGCAATATTGCATGTTTAGGAGACATTTCTTGACTAATTTGTATTTTAAAGAATTCTATTCCATCAGAAATGGTAGGAGCCCTCCATTTAGGATTAAAACTAAAAAAAACCAAAAACTCTTTGGATTAGAGTAAATGGTCATTATTGAGAAGCATACTTGTTAGCAATTACTCATTCCTTAACAGTTGTTGCAAAAGTAGCTGGTGTCATTTTCCAAGTAGTTTATTCATTAGCTGACCTTATTTGTTGTTTGAATGTCATGGGGGTTTTCTTGTTTGTTTTCAGTTTTGATCAGCTCAAAACGGCTGTTGTGAATTTGAAGAAACAAGCCAATAAGAAAAATGAGGGGAGTCTAGCTTATGTGAAAGGAGGTCTCAGCACGTTTTTTGAAGCACAAGATGCTCTGTCAGGTAAAGATGCTTTGCAATTACTAAATACAGTATAAAAGAAAATACAGTATCTGCATGTATGGTTGAATTTAATGTTAAAAAATACCGTTTTTCTTCACAGTCTCTTTTAAAACTGTATAATGAGCCCAAAAATTGTATCATGTTGGTCACAGGCTGGGACTGGCTGGCTGATTGTTGTGGTATATTTCCAAAAGGTGGCACCGAATGTATATTACGGGAAGCAGTCTGATGAAACTGCTTAGACCAAAAATCCAAAAAGAGAGGAAATGTTAAACTGGAGATAATATTAAGATGACTTACAAACTTTAGGTACATTAAAAACTTGATTTTATAATGCCTTATCCCATAGACTGTAATATGTATATGAATATTCAGAACGCTCTGACCTGAGAAATTAGACAGCCTTCATATTCTGCTTGCCATAAGGAGAGACACTACAGAGATTAGCTTAGTTGTCTGTGCCATTTATATACACATGTATATTTACCTTTATTTGTTTATATATATACACTCTTAAAGCACAAAATGTCTCTCGGGTAAAAGCTCATTGTGGGCTGCCATAGTCCTGTCTAGTTAGGGACTATGCTGGATAACAAAATGACCATGGTGGACCATTCCCAATAGGTTTGACACCACTATGCTGTTCTTCATAGGTACTGTACATTGCAGGATTATCACTTCTGATCATTGATACTGTGTTACGGGTGCTATGGAGTAAGAAAATTTATTATATCTTCTGTTACCCTCAGTTAAACTAGCACTTCTGTTGGCTTTAGGAAGACTTCTTTAGAGAAATACCAACTTTCTCTTGATGCACTTGCAGGCCACTCACTGTCTGTCTGATACCCACTTCTGTGTGTTAGAGAAAAGGGAAGTCAGTGCTGTCTCACCTGGTGGTCCACCTGTATTCCTGCCCCAGGCAGATTAACCTCTGACCTGCCCTTCAGGTGACAGCATTTTCAAAAGTGGTTGATAGCTTTTGGCTACCTGTCAAATTTGGTGATTTTTAAGAGGAGAACTCTTTCCACAAATGCAAATATATATGCTTTGATAGGGAGGACCTCTTCTTGAGACATTGTCCCAGTTTGAAGGGACATCTAAAGGTTCTTCCTGTGAAGAATCTTAACTCCTGAACATCTTTATTAGCCCACCCAAAACTGACCTATTACTGATCAGTTTTGACAAACTTTGCCCTAAATCTGGATAGTTTCAGTAGCAAAAATATTAAAGCATTAAATCATTCAGGGGAAATACTAAAGAATGTGGTGGTATTCATAGGAAAAGACACTAAGAAGAATCAGTATTTGGCGTTCTTTAACTTTTTTTTTAAGCTGAATTTTTATTAAATGCTAGGAAAAATGATAATAGACTGTTTCTTTGTAAGTCCTGAGTATCTTGAAAATGTTGAAATCCTAATTTTTCTTAAGTAGTTCAAAATCCTAAATAATCCTGAACAAATATTGAAATGTGAGTTGTTTTTCACAACCAAATCTGCCTTGCATGTAAAGTATCAAATGCTCTAAAAGATTCAGAGTTCTGTTTCCAAACAGTTACTGCTGTGAATAAAAAGTAGTGCTGGCAGACATATGTGTTATCTTGTAAGATTATTTTTTGGACCAGCAAAGACTTAGTAGGATTTAGAGAAAGCTAATGCAAATCATAAATCTTGTGTGGTTTTAGAAAGACAGAACACAACGGAGTGATTTTTCTCTTGTCCCTTTTATTAAAGTGTAAGCTTCTTGCCTTTGGAGACAGATTTCCTGATAAATGAAGAGATCAGAGAGCAAGTAGGAATGTAAAAAATATTAGTAAATTATTGATAGGGAAAGCAAATTCATTTATTTCACTAAGTGCTATGTTCTCAATTAAAAAAAATATAATAGCTCTAATATTGTTTTGCATCTCTTATGTGTATCGGAGTATTATTTATACTTAAAATTAGAGTTTATCACTGTAGTCCTTTAGATAAATTACTAATTCAAAACTTGGGATGATTTATGTGGTTCTTAGTGCTACTTTTTCTCTATAACCAAAATGAATCCCCCTTAAGAGCTCAAAGGAAGCAAACTTGTAACTTGTGGTGTTATGAACAGTGAATTGAAGCAGTACTAAGAAAGAATGGCCTTGATGCTGCTGTGGAAGAAAATTGGAGACTTGAAGTCTTAATCTCTTACAAATTCAAAGCTTTAGCACTGGAGTTCAAGGGACTTAACAATGCAATATTTAGTTTTTAATTTCTGAAACAAAATTCTTAATGAGGATGCAGTGCAGATCACGGCTGCCTTCTGTAGTGTTTTAATATGCATTTCTCTGTTTAAGCATGTGCAGAAGTATTTTTGATTCTTTTCAGTAAAAAAAAGAGCCCCTTATTGCCAAATTTCAGCTTTGTAATGCAGAACTGTTCGTTTGGCCTTTCTTCCTCCTTATGTGGATAATTGCATAACTTTTGAAAGACTTGAACCTGTGTTAGGTACAATCAACAGCTAAGCTGGATATGGAGAAGCCTCCAGTAGTAGCAAGAAAAAGGGGTATCTTTGACACCATCATCCAGCCCTCCTGCCAGATGTCAAAGCTTTTCTCCAGAACATTTGATCACTACAGTTTTCTCAAAAGAAAGATGACAGGAATTAAGCGTAAGCATTGTTAGTATTTTTGAGAAAGACAGCTCAGATGCAAAATTAAAAAAACAAACACAAAAACAACAAACCAACAAAAACCAAAAAACAAAACCAAACAAAAAATCTCAGGCAAAACAAAAACTCCAATAATTCTTAGGTGTACCGTTATGAAGTTCAAGCTCTTTAGTGGAAGAACATTAAATTAAAAATCCTATTATACTCTGGCTGCACAGTGTTTGTGCAAGGTTATATAATAGCACTTTTCTGCCCTCACATATGTAAGAGCACATTTGTGTGTCTTATTTTTTCCTTTAAAAGGGTGCAACTACCATTTGTATGCATTTAAATAAAACTATATGAGGAATAATTTATATCTGAAGGCTGAAAGTATGTTTCAGCACAAACTCTTTAGGGACATAGCCTTGGTTTTGCAAACTTTTATTTGATTCTGAGCCTACAACTGTCACAAATGAAAAGTGACTCAAGGGAAAACCATTATTGAATACATCTAGTCTGTCTCCCTAAATTTCCTGAGCTGCTTCTTTTATTTGTTTATTTGTTACTTACTTCCTTTGGGAAGATTTCTAAAATCAAATCCTTTTTCTGATGATACGTTTTTTGATGGACAAAAGTTTAGGCTCTCAGTTTTCTTCTTCAGATATCCTAGAACACAACTTCCAATGCCAGTAGTTATGCTTTATTAACTACAGGTCTGTTCTGTTGTTGTTGTTTTAGAAGACCTATTTGCATACAGTTATTTCTCTTAGGTCTCCCTAAAATGGTACTTTTTCTGGGGGGCTCACTTTAAGAGGAATAACACTTACTTTACGAGGTACTTCCTATTTATCTATTTGCACATCTGTTTATATCTGCTTTTTTAAAATCATCCGCATTTAACATTGTTTGTTGCAAATACGTTACCTTGATCTGGGAAACCTTGCATTTCTGATCATGGTGCAGCTTTTTTCATTAGCTGGAATCAGTAAGATCAGTCTGATCTGACGTGTGCCATCAGACGTGTGCCATTTACACATCTAAATGAGTATTAATATTTTCAGAAGTAAGCAATGAAAACCAAAAAAACAAAAAAGTTATCCTGAGACGCTTATTGTATTCTGTGATTTAGAAACTGTTTACTAAGAAAATAGGAGGTCAAATAGGGCAGAACCCTTCCTTGTTTGGTTTAATTTCTTGGAAAACAGAATTGCCTTATCAGATCCTGACGTCTCTCTGCCCGTCAGCTTGGCTGACAGTTTGACAGTGGCTTTGCTGCACAGGAGATGCTCAACAGGAAGCTTGTTTCGTCAGCTGAAGGGAGCTGTAGGCTGAGCTGAGGGGAACTGGGCTCACCTCAACTTGACCCACTTGTCAACGTCGGGGAGCTCAGCTGATTTATTTCCCATAATTCTAATGGCAACCTAGAAAGTAGCATTCCTGAAAGGGCTGCTGTTTATATGTTTGTAGACAAGTCGTGTTTTATTGTCAAGAGCAAGTCGTGTCCCGCACAGGAGTCTTTGGAAAGTTAGCAAATTAATTTACTTTGAATATACTTTTTCAGAAGTGTTCTTTACAAAGACCCTTAGACTGCAGAGTTTCTTTTTATTTAAGAGAAAGGAAAAAAATAGGGAAATGACCACTTCAGTCACTCAGTTACGCAAAAACAAGCAAGTATGACATCTATATTGGCAAGTAAAGAAGATGCTGTGTTGTCTTTGAAACACAGGTATGTTGAACAAATTTGAGATTTAGATTTGATTCTAGTTTGTCATGTCAGCAGTTCTTCTTATGCAGTTACAACTACAAACACATTGTATAGATTTTTTTTTCTGAAAATCATATAAAAAAAGAAGCGCTGCTGGCTATTATAGCACTGTTGTTTTTTTCCTTTCCACTCTTACTCAGATATATGCCCTATGGGAATGCCACTAGGACAGAGGAATTGGACTGTAGTTGGCCTTTTGTCTAATACCTTACTTGAAACATAAACTAGGACAATTTTTTACCTAGTTACAGTGATCTTATATCTGGTCAATGCCTAGGTTTTTGGTTGGTGAGGTTTGGGTTGGTATTTTTTTATTTATTCTTCCTATAGTGTATTTTCATACTTCATCCCCTCATGCCCGTTCTAGAATGAGCATGCCAGTGATCTAGGATCTGATTCAGTATGAATAAGTGTATTCTGTTGCTGTTACGTCTGCTAAATCAATCTTCTCTGAAACTAAAATAAAAGAAACCACTGGATCTGTATTCAATTCTGAGTCAGACTGGTAATTTGAGAAGGTGAAATTTGTTGCTAGTCTGTCACGTAAGTGTCCCTTTGCTTCTGGCTTTTTAGGAGTTAAGCCATGGTTGAATTTAAAGAGAATACATATTCTCTTTAAT